TGCAGCCGTCATTGTTGTTTGGCGGGTCCGGGCTGGGGATTCGAACCTGCCACCTTAGGTGTACGTGGCTGGCGCCTTAGCTGGTTGAGCTATAGGCACCGAGCCAAAAGTGGTTTCTTGAGATAGAATCTCCTCCTGGTAAATACAGCTAAAATGACAACAAAGGATTTAAAATATTATATGAACTTCCTTGATAGAGCAGCCGCAAAGTTTGAAATATTTTAAGCCCATTCCTGAGACCTGTTAAAAGTAGAATCTTTTTTCTCCTATTTTGAAAGAAGCTCTGTAAGTAAAACCCTATCAAATGCATTGCATTCCACAGAGAAATCTTTCACAAAAGGAAGTCAACAGATGCAGCCAATTCATTGTTGTCTTATTTTAAGAAATTGCCTGAGCTACTCCAATTTTTAACAATAACTATCATCATCATCAATCAATATTGATCAAGATGAAGGCAAAGACCCTTCACCAGGGAAAAGATTACTTCACCCTAAAGCCTCAGATGAACATTAGCATTTTTAGCAATAAAGCTTTTTTTTTTTAAAGAGACAGAGTCTCACTATATTGCCTTTGGTAGAGTGCCATGGTGTCACAGCTCACAACAACCTCCAACTCCTGGGCTTAGGCGATTCTCTTGCCTCAGCCTCCCAAGTAGCTGGGGCTACAGGCACCTGCTGCAACGCCTGGCTATTTTTTTGTTGCAATTTGGCTGGGGCTGAGTTTGAACCTGCCTCCCTTGGTATATGGGGCTGGCACCCTACTCACTGAGCCACAAGCGCCACCTTTTTTTTTTTTTTTGAGACAGAGTTTCATTTTGTCGCCCTCGGTAGAGTGCTGCAGCATCATAGCTTACAGCAACCTTAAACTCTTGGGCTCAAGTGGTTCTCTTGCCTCTGCCTCCCAAGTAGCTGGGACTATAGGCACCAGCCACAACGCCCAACTACTTTTAGGGACAAGGTCTTGCTCTTGCTCCTGCTGATCTCAAACATGTAAGCTCAGACAGTCCACCTGTCTCAGCTTCCCAGAGTGCTAGTATTATAGGTGTAAGCTACTGCGCCCAGCCAGCAAGAAAGTATTTTTAAATTAAGGTATATACATTATGGGGTTTTTTGCACAATGCTATTTCACACTTAATAGACTACACTATAGTACAAGCAAAACTTAAATGCTGGGAAAACCAAATAATTTGTGTTACTTCCTTTATTGTGACATTTACTTTATCAGCATGATCTGTAATAGAACTGGTGATATCCCAAAGGCATGCCTGTATACTAGCAGGGGATAAAAAGACCACTTATAGGGCCAGGCATGGTGGAGGCAGGAGGATCCCTTGAGCTCAGGAGTTGGAGACAAACCTGAGCAAGATGAAGATCCCCTCCAACTCAGGGAGCTGAGGCAGGAGGATGGCTTGAACCCAGGAGTTTGAGGTTGCTGTGATGGAGACCAACAGACACCATGGAACTGAAGCCTGGGAGACTCTGTCTCAAAAAAAAAACAAACAAACAGTGGTAACACAGTTTCTGCTTTAAATTTAAGTTTCCTCATTTTGTATAAGTGGTAAATGACATACTCCATTATTGGGTGGAGGGAAGGGGTAAGGTCTCATAAACGTGACATTGATTCTGCATCAAGTTTGGAGACCGAGGTAAAAAGAGGTAGAAAGAATGTGTTTAAGATGTTGAGAAGTAGGTGAGATTGCTTTCAACTGAGCTGAAGGAGCTTTCTTTCAACTGAGCTTTCTTTCTTCCTTTTTTTTTTTGAGACAGTCTCAAGCTGTTGCCTTGGGTAGAGTGCTCTGGCATCATAGCTCACAGCAACCTCAAACTCTTGGGCTCAAGTGATCCTCCTGCCTCAGTTTTTCTATGTTTAGTAGAGATGGAGTCTGGCTTTTGCTCAGGCTCGTCTTGAACTTGTGAGCTCAAGCAATCTACCTGCCTCAGCTTCCCAGAGAGCTGGAATTACAGGCATGAGCCACAGTCAGAAGCAAGGCTTTTGGAAGGAGTCGGATCACAAACAGGAAGGAAGGCATTGAATGTTGGATACAGTTTCAATGGGCAGAGATTTGTAACAGGAGTACTTAAAAAAAGTGCAAAGGCCAAACAGGGAACATGGGTGTGGCAGATGATAAGAAAAAAAGGTTAACTTGAGGCACATTTTGGCAAGCCTGGAATGTCAATATAGGGGCTTAATCTTTATTCTGTATGAAATACCAGTGAAGCTTTTTTGAGCTGGACATTGACATTACAGAGTAAATTTCCTAAATAAAAACTGAATGGGGAGGGGCCTGTGGCTCAGTGGGTAGGGCGCTGGCCCCATATATCAAGGGTGGCAGGTTCAAATGCAGCCCTGGCCAAACTGCAACAAAGAAATAGCTGGGTGTTGTGGCAGGCGCCAGTAGTCCCAACTACTCGGGCGGCTGAGGCAAAAGAATCGCCTAAGCCCAGGAGTTGGAGGTTGCTGTGAGCTGTGTAACACCACAACATTCTACCCAGGGTGATAAAGTAAGACTGTCTCTACAAAAAAAAAAACTGAATTGGACATAGGACAGTTTAGAAGGAAATTTGATGCAATGAAAGATTCAATGACCAAGGGCATATTATTGGCAGGAAATCGTGCTAGGTGGCATTTGACAAGAGACAAAAATGTCAAGATGGGGACCCTGCCCTCAAGGAATTTATAATCGGCGCGGTGCCTGTGGCTCAAGCGGCTAAGGTGCCGGCCACATACACCTAAGGTGGCGGGTT